ATTTTTCTTTGTGTTTTGTTGTTTGATTAACATTCATAACACAGAAAGCCTCAGGAATATTAAACTGCTGTAAACCAAATATACTGTTACACATCCATTTTCTTTCTCAATTGTTTCCCTTCACCTAAGCCATAAGCAACTGCGTTTACAAGGATACTTGCAGAGCACAGTATTTCAGGCACAAATAGACGCAGAAGTGAACAGAATTCAGAGTTCACCAGACGCGTGCGGCGCAACGCAACAAAATACAATGAACCCATTATAATCAGTGATGCTGTGTGACTGTCTACACTGGATGTGGTGTGGCACGACAAATCCCCGACTGTAAACTGATGCCGCGATCTTTTTATGACGTACTGACACAAAGTTCAAATGATTGGCAACGGTCACTTTGTCGCGTCCAGTGTAGACAGACTTTGGGGCCATTCACATGTCACGCCTAAAACGCATGGGAAAACGCCAGTCGTGCCGCTTTCTCCTTTCCAAAGCGCTCGGGAGCTTGCGCTTTCGTGGCATCTGCTGTTGCTAAGCAACCGTGACCTGCGCTCTCCACGACGACGCGGAAGTTTCAACAAAGGATAAACGGATTTCCAGCACTGAAAATTGCGTGCAGTAGCTCTGCTACTAAATGTAATTAAGATTGGTATCTCTGTACAACTGTCGCATCCGGTTAGACACCGTGTCTGTGTGTGAGCAAAGAAAACAATCAGTATAAATATAACGATCAGTAGCCTATACTAAACATCGCACATCCTGCGATGTGACTATCGCAGATGCGCACATCGCGATAACGATTCTGAAACAATATATCGTGCAGCCTTAATGCAAATATATCTGCGTAACACAGTACTGCTTAAACTTTATACACATTTGAGTGCTAAGGAAACATGCATGAATGAGAAAATAAAGAGTGGGATGTACTTGGTAGAGTTATTAAGTGCAATAAGCAGTGAAAAAGAACTCAATGCGGTGCTCGCGCTGACTGACACACAGCCGAAGCGCACGCACTGAAAGCCCCTCTCTCGACAGCAAGCAATCGCGAAAACAGATCTCTTTCGTGTTTTATTGTGCTTGAATGGTCAAATACGCACACAGTAATGTCATAATGCCCGTTGTGTGGAGTATTCAAGTAAACACAGTCGGTTATATGTTAAATATATGTAAAACAGTTGGGTGAAAACCGGATGTGTTTCAGTATATGGATCTGTGCAGTCGGTCTTAAAGGGACAGCAGCCTTATTTACCTGCTGCTGTCTGTCATTATTAATGTTCATCATGTTTGATGATACAGTGAAGACTGTGCAGGGTTTTATTTATACACTTTATTCAATTTCTGTAATATTTCTTACTACATGTTAAATAAACCTAGCCTACTGTATCTGAATAAATTAAGTTTATTTCATATTTATTTGTTCTGTTGTGCTTGTAATTTGCTGCTTTTTCTTAATTTTAATAACAAAAATAAAATAAAAATACCTATATCGAGGTACATATCGTCATCGTGAAATAAAATGTATCATACCGTGAAATAAGATTTTGGTCATATCGCCTACCCCTAGTGCACCATAACTCTGGACAGTTTACAGATCAGCATTGTCTTGTTGAATTACTTCAATGAACCTGCTGTTCAACAAGGTGCTTTTTCTGCCAACAGGTAGTCCAAAGGATATTTTATAATGTAAACCGCTCATGGACTGGAAAAATAACATGCTCAGAACTCAGGAGAAGTAGTTTTCTACAGGTAAATATGTTAGGAGTCTATATCTAGGACTGCAGTGGACATTTGTCAATTAATTTTCATGCTAATTGATAAATGTAATTGTAACTAATGTAAACAGTAGGGCTGGGTATCGTTCAAAAATTTTCGATATCGATAACGATACCTTGACTTCAATACCGGTTCCTGAACAATACTTTTGAACAATCTCGCAAACGCAGCGGCGGATCTCCACCAAATTCGGGGGATCCCTTCAGCTCGAGGAGCTCTCTCAAACGCCACCCTCCGCGTGTTGGTAGCCCCCCAGGATCGCCAGATCGGTCTTTTTTTGGTGTGGATCCGCCACTCCGTTACGGAGATATGGTCGTTCAAAGTTTCAATGGTATTCCATACACTTAAGCTTTAAAGCGTTTCATCCAGGTCGCCAGTAGCAAACAATGGAGCGCGCTCTGCTGGACAAACTATGTAATTACACCATTTACAAGCATTTTATCTGTGTTGTTCTGTAAAAAAAATGTTCATATCGGCGGCATATTCGCTGATACCGATATATCTGCGACAGGCTCATATCGGCCGATAAAATCGGCAAAACGATATATCGGTCGGGCTCTATTTAGTATTATTATTTTTGTTATTGTAGACTTAACATGATTTTCTTGAAAATTAAGTTGTTTTGGAATTTATCATGCTGATTTTTCTAAAATCAGGCTGGCCTATCTACAATTTAGGTGACTAAGCTTTTCTGTGGTGTAATGGTGAAAATGTTTCCCAACAGAATGTGGCACTACTGGAAGAAGAGGAAGAGATTAACCAGTTGACAGAGTTCTTCTCCTATGAACATTTCTATGTCATCTACTGTAAATTCTGGGAGCTGGACACAGATCACGACTTGTACATAGACCAGAGAGACCTGATGCTACATAATGATCAAGGTACCAGTCCACCCGCTGCGCCCTTAACGGTCCCCTGAAATGCTTAGAAACACGCAGCATTACTCTGTGTTGACGTCATTTTAACTGAAACAGGAAGACAGGGCGGGACATATCAAGTAGCCCCGCCCCTTTTTAAAATAGCCAATAGCGTTCGTTTATATCACAGCTTGGGCTAGAGCCGTTGAGCTCCGTAAGAAAGCATATTTACACTGTTTGAATCGTTCCCTGTCCCCTATACTGAAAATACCTTCCTTCATCTATAGTGCACTACGTGCCATTCACTGTACAGAAAATTCTAATTCTGTGGACAAGTGACCGATTTCAGCCGCGGCTTCAGCGTCTATTTTATAGTGTAGGGGGCGGGCGCTTCGGATTCTAGAGAGCATTTGATTGGACAGAAAGTTTGATGAGAAGCTGAAGTACGATGTGATGGAACCGCAAGCTTTGAATGCTTATATCTTCTAAATGCGAATTTTGTCACTGTTTTGGAGCACACTGCCTTATAGATAACCTTAAGACTACCATATTGATACTAACACCCAAAAAACTTTCATTTTGATTTCATGGGGACTTTTAAGACCATCACACTCTTCTGACATGTTGTTTAACGATTGGCTGCTTATTGCTGGAGGTGACATTAAATATCCCCTCCAGCAGCACTTGACTGCATATGTTTCTGTTTGCTGCAGAATGAGTTTAGTAAATTGAATGAAGTGCGGGGACATTTTAACATCAATTTCCTCTAGCATGACGGCATGTCTGGCACTCTAATAATTTTATCTCCTTTCAGGCAGGGTCAGTAATTGTGTCTTTAAAATGATAAAATAAGGATATTAAATCACTGTCTTGCGCTTGCAATTTACAATATTTACAACCTTTGACTGCGAATTATTACCCAGTTTAAGCATTTTCTGTGAATAAAGAATAAAACTGTGATGTGATTTTTCTGCTCTTTGACAGCCGTATCCCACCGAATGATTGAGAGAATATTCTCAGGAGCTGTAACCAGGTACCATCTCTCATTTTTCAGGCATTTTTTTTTCTCTCCAATTTTTGAAAGCTTGTGTCGTGTCTTGTATCATTTTGTTATAGATTTTATGAGTGCTGTGGTTAATTTTACTCTGATGCTCAGGGACAGAAAGGCTCACAAAGAGTGCAGACTGAGCTATGCTGACTTTATATGGTTCCTCATTTCTGAAGAGGACAAAAAGACTGAGACCAGGTAACTGAAAATACCTTCCTTCATCTATTTTTTTTTATTGCTTTTAGATGTTCCAAAATGGTTTAGTGCGTTTTTGTCAAAATGACTGCAATTAGCAACTATTATTCTTTCTTTGATCTGATAAAACAAGATCAATCTCCTGATAAAATGGAACATTAACGTGATTATTTTCCCCATGTTCTTCAATATAAAAATTAAAGGCTATAAAAACAATTAAATCAATGTAACTTTGAATGAATAACATTTTCAGACATTTAATTGCATTTATTTTTACAGTATTATTTACAAAAAAAACGTTTTTTTTTTTTAATTCTTGTTGCAGCCCTAGAAAATAGTGTCTAGTAACGATTGCTTGTTGATTGTGTAGCATAGAGTACTGGTTTCGCTGTATGGACCTGGATGGAGATGGAGTTCTTTCCATGTATGAGCTGCAGTACTTCTACCAGGAGCAGTGTCAGAAACTTGAGGCCATGGCCATTGAACCACTGCCTTTTGTGGACTGCCTGTGCCAAATGTTAGATATGGTTAAGCCAGAAATCCCAGGTATTATTTGAAATGATGAATAACTTAATGTGTTGGATTGAATTTCCTAGGTATTTTAGAGTTTGCATGCTCATCTGCCATCATTCTGAAGTAGTCTCACACATCCTCCTAGCAAAAATTACTTGTAATGTGCTTGCTTTGTTTTGTCAGGAATGATCACTCTCGGGGACTTGAAGAGATGTAAACTTTCCCATATTTTCTTTGACACATTCTTCAACATTGAGAAGTACCTAGACCATGAACAGAGGGATCCCTTACTGGCTGCAAGGGTAAAGAATAACAGATTTATATCATTTTATGGCTGTTTTGGTCACTTGGATGATGTAACGGAATTGGTGTTCTGATTATGCAATTTTATAGGATGCTGAGACAATGGGACAGGAGATTTCTGACTGGGAGAGATATGCTGCAGAGGAGTATGATAACTTGGTATCTGAGGAAGCTGCAAACGAGCAGCACAACGATGGGTAAGACTGCGTATCTCACAGAACTGCCCACAGACCACAATATTATCACTGTGCAGCATCATAGATGAGCTAACAACAATAAACTTCAGCTGCGAGCAACCTCTCTAAACTGTATGTCTAGACTCAGTCCTGCTTCATTTAACAGGACTTCACCTCATGCAGCAGTTTTAATAACATCAATCCACTTTTGTCATTTGCTGCATTGTCACTGCACTGAATCAGTGATCAGAGGGCTGATGAGGTATTATGTGACGCTTTTAGGATCAGCACAGACTTCTAATGGCAGGATGAGTAGACTTGAAACAGGTAAGACACTGTAGGTGCAGGGTTGAGGTTCCTTCTGTGTTCTCCCCCACTTCTGTTCCTCATGGGTTCACCTGGTCACTGTAAAACACCTCCACATTTGCTCATCAGATAACGGATTAAAGTATGTTTCACAGTTTTAGCAAACTCCAGTATTCAGGTGTATTTTCAATGGCATGCGTTCACACGTCTGTTCCTTAACTCTTTTGCCCTCCAGTTGGTTTTGGAAGTGTTTTTACCCCATGTGTAGTTTCTTCATATGAATATCTTCAATCCAATTTTCATAAAATTGTAATCTTCCAATCAAAGTACAAGACTGTGTAGGTTATAAATTCTTTTATAAAGGTATGAACTGCTCTTCCCAAGTATTGTGAATGATATAATTGAGTGATGGCAGGAGTAATTGATTATGAGCATTAAAAAAACAACACTTCTTAAGTGAATAATATTCAAACTGAATGGGCTCGGCTCAGTACATTTTGTCATTTTAATTTCTTTCTCGTCAGCTATGACAATGTTCTAGACCCAGTTGATCACATAACATGTGCTTTTGACCTGCGCAACGAGAAGAGACATCTCTTTGAGATCCCTAACCCTCACTGTGACCTGGACCTGGATGAATATGAATACGAGGACGATTTCGAATGACAGCCAACAACACAACACAAGTAAAGGCTACAATCTGCTAGTGTGTAGAACAGGAAGTGGACCAATCCTGCTCTCCAGTACTGATGCCACGTAGTTCAGCTAACCAAGGCTTGAGAGTGTACAGATACACTCCCCCAGCCGCTGGATACCAGACTGTAAACCAGCAGTCTGGCGAGGCTCTGTTTAGCAAGACAGATTGTGCTGGCCCAGTCTCTCTGTCAGTCTGACATCTATGCACAACCAGGTTTCTGAAACAAATGTAGCTGCACTGTAGGTTTCAAACAACTACACTGGAACCAAACCGGTACACTTGAAATATTAAGTGTGCACTGTTTATAAATATTTAAATATTTTTATGCACAGAATTGGCTTATAAGACATTCCAGAGATTCACCAAAGTGATTTCATGGATGGTTTATTTCTCATGGAGCTCTGTCGACTTGCCTTATGTGTTTGAGGGTCACATTAATATGAAATAATGCAGTAATTAGACTGACATTTTACTGTCTGTGTGAGAAGTGTTCCTAAATTATAATGTATTTGTTGTTTGCCTCATTTGTTCTAAACCTTTAGACTTTAGTCCAGCTAAATGTTTTCAACAAATCATGTTTGTAACATTTCTATAGAAGTGCTTCATAACAATGTGCTTTTATTATTGTAAAAATTAACTTTTTCATCTGTCTTAAAGAGTTCAATAAAGTGTTAAGACAAAAGTGTTTCACACATTCACTGCAGGATGTTATTGCTGTTTAATTAAAAATGACATTTAAATTTCTGCAAGTCAAATTAATTTGAAATATTTATGGAGTAACCCGGTTTTAATTTTACAAGTAGAAGGCATAAACGTATTAGCTGTGACCAACAATATAATTAAAAAAAAAAAAAACTACAGCTGCATCTCCTCCATTTACAACACGTGTAGCTTATTTGAATACCTGAATAAACAGTTATGATTCAGCAGTGTGCAACAAAATGTGTATTTGTGTTCTAAAAGTACACCGGGCAGAAAATAGAAACAAATATGAAAAAAGATTTGAGGTCCAAATTGTAATATTTTTCTTTTTGCGCTACAGTTAGCCATGAATGAGTGTTTTACACAAGATTTGAAAGTGCATCATTCTGTCTTTTTAAGCCCACACAGGCTAAATGCAAAATGTATGCAATAGCAATGCACCATGAATTTACATTCTTTACAAGTATTTCAGCACCGCCTTATTAGATCTGAATCTGATCCTGATCATTTTAAATGGCACAATTTTCATATACAGGATATTATGTAGTGCAAACGTTCAAATGCTGTCTTTTACCAATGCTCACAAGACCGTAAATACAAAAAAATGTCATGATGACAGATGTGAACTACAACATTAGACATCAATATCTACAATATCCACATCCACTTCAGCACTGCTCCTTGGACCTTTAGCAGACACGAGACTGCAGGTCAGCTGCTCTTTGCTCAGTGGAGCTTGTTGGACTTTTGAGTCTTCAGAACTTCACGTGGAAGAAAAATACAATAGTATGTTACTCAAATGACTTGACTATTCACACGGTCAATAAGAGTGTTTATTGACCTCACCTTTTCAAAAGCTTGTTTCCCTTTGGTTCTGAACAGGGAGAAAGAAACCTCTGGTCCCCTGTTAAAAATAGAATTAGCTGAATTATAATCAACCCCACGTTATGAAATACATAATTCTTAGTAACACTAATAACCAACAACTTACTGGATATACCCTAATATGTTCATGGATATATTTTCTGATATCTTTACTGTATAAAAATACTGCTGCATTGTTATTTTGACCAGCTGATATGCAAATTGAAGCATGCTATACTCCCAATTATTTTAATTATAATTATATATGTATTTGTTAATTTTGTAATCTTCTTTATTAATATATATATATATATATATATATATATATATATATATAAATGTGATATTTATATATATGCAATTACAGTTTTTTATGCAAGTATAAATTAATAAAACATTTTAATTATAAAATTCATATCAATATTAACCTAAAACCTTGATGTTGAAAAAGTTCATGCCCATGTTATTTGTCGACAACCCTTTTGCATATTGCATCATTAAAAACCTGGACCTCAGAAATGACCCAGTGAGCGTTCATACCTTCAGAGTTAACTTGTTTGACAGAAGGCGATCTGGAGCGGTTGGTGAGAGAGGGCTGTTTGTTGGTGTCAGAGCTGATGAAGGAGATGGCATCTTCTCCCTCAGCTGTGCCCATCAGAGACGCTCTGTAGTAAATCAGCGGCATCCAGCTCTCCTCTCTGTTGTTGATGACCTGCTCACCAGCAAATTTCTGCAAATAACTGTAGCTGGGGAAGAGACGACCGGTTTAGAAAAAGAGATTAAGATCCAAAAGTGCAAGATGTCAAATGCACAGAATTCATTTATTTGTTTAGCTTTAACTTACATAGTCTTCTTGTCCGGTTTGAGCAGTTTGCTGGAGAATTCACTGAGGATGGTGAGGTATGAGATGTATGGTGGAGAGTGTTTCTCAGACTGCTGAACGAACCCTTTGAAAACAAACTCAATGCCATCCCTGCACAGAGAAACCCACTTCTTTATTCACACTAGTAAGAGGACACTTCCTTTTAAGACCTGAATATTTCTTCTCCTGTCCCTCTATATTTGAATCCTAATATAAGACCAGAACTACAGATGGCAAAATTTCTCAGCCTTGAAATAACCAAAGATAGGACTCTTATGTACTGGCTAAATGAAGCCATGCAGTGCAGCATCTTGACAAAACTATTTTTATTTGAGGACGAACATAGCAATCAGTCTGTTCTAGCCGTGTCACTATGCCAGACATCAGACGTGACCTCGCTGACACGGAGTCAGCCGGGTGGACTGTGTTACCTGTGGATCATGGCCAGGGACTCGCGGGATTTGATCTGGTCCCATCCGAAGGTGAGTGAGAAGCGTCTGGCCAGCTCCTTGATGCTGCTGTAGGTCTGAACCCTGGAGCTGCAGGTGTTTCCTCTGTCCTGCTCCTGTTTCAGCCTCAGATACAGCTGAACACAGAAAAATTGTATGCCCTTATTACATTATTGTTTTCACAAGTAATCTTTAATCATGGAGCAGCTTACACTTTGCTATTGCTATTGATAGTGTTGTATTCTAATTAGATGAACATGCCATGTTTAACATGGATACTATGGTAATAAGTCCAAATTTACAGTGTACTAGATATCAAAGTTTTAATATATACAATGTACAAATTTTAGATAGAAATTTAGATAATATATATGAACACTGCCATTCAAAAGTTTTGAGGTCAGTAGGACTTTTAATAGTTTTTTTTAACTATTAAATAAAGGAAATTAATACTGGAGTAATGGCTGCTAAAAACTCATCTTTACCATAACAGGAATCAAATAAATTGTAATAATATTTAATAATATTACTGTTTTTATTGTGTTTTTGATCAAATAAATGCAAATGCAGCCTCAATGAGCCTTAAAGACTACTTTCAAAAACAACAGTAATGTACATGTTTTTTTTTATATTATATATATTTTAAATATATTGTTTTATGTATTTATAAAATGTTTATATATATATTTATTTGATCCCCTGCTGATTTTGTAAGTTTGCCCACTTACAAAGAAATGAAGGGTCTGTAATTTTTATAGTAGGTTTATTTTAACGTATAGAGACAGAATATCAACCAAAAAATACAGAAAAAACACATTACGGTATATAAAGGTTAGAAATTGATTTGCATTTCAGTGAGTGAAATAAGTATTTGATCCCCAAGCAAAACATGACTTAGTACTTGGTGCAGAAACCCTTGTTGGCAAGCACAGAGATAAGAGGTTTTTTTGTAGTTGGTCACCAAGTTTGCACACATCTCAGGAGGGATTTTGATCCACTCCTCTTTACAGATCCTCTCTAAATCCTTAAGGTTTCTTGGCTGTCGTTTGGCAACTCGAAGGTTCAGCTCCCTCCACAGATTTTCTACAGGATTGAGGTCTGGAGACTGGTTAGGCCACTCCATGACCTTAATGTGCTTCTTCTTGAGCCACTCCTTTGTTGCTTTGGTGGTATGTTTCGGGTCATTGTCATGCTGGAAGACCCATCCATGACCCATCTTGGAGGTTCTTGTCCAAGATTTTACAATACATGGCCCCGTCCATTTGCCCCTCAATGCAGTGAAGTCGTCCTGTACCCTTAGCAGAAAAACAGCCCCAAAGCTTAATGTTTCCACCTCCATGCTTGACTGTAGGGATGGTGTTCTTGGAGTACTGTAGGGATGGTGTTCTTGGGGTCAAAGTCAGCATTTCTCTCCCTCCAAACACGGCGAGCCGAGTTAATGCCAAAGAGCTACATTTTGGTCTCATCTGACCACAGCACTTTCTCCCAAGCCTTCTCTGAATCATTTTGATGCTCTTTGGCAAACTTTAAATGGGCCTGTACATGTGCCTTCTTGAGCAGGGGGACCTTGCAGGCGCTGCAGGATTTCAGTCCATTGCGGCGTTGTGTGTTACCAATGGTTTGCTTGGTGACTGTGGTCCCAACTGCCTTAAAGGGATAGTTCACCCAAAAATGAAAATTCTGTCATTAATTACTCACCCTCACGTCGTTTCAAACCATCTTCGGAGAAAGATGCAAATTAATGAACATTTCAGTTGTATTGCTGTCTATGGAGGGTCTGACAGCTCTCAGATTCCATCAAAAATATCTTAATTTGTGTTCCGAAGATGAAGGAAGGTCTTACGGGTTTGAAACAACATGAGGATGAGTAAATAATGACGGAATTTTTATTTTTGGGTGAACTATCCCTTTAAGATCATTAACAAGCTCCTCCCGTGTAGTTCGGGGCTGATCCCTCACCTTTCTCATGAACATCCTTACCCCATGAGGAAAGATCTTGCACGGAGCTCCAGACCAAGGCAGATTGATGGTTGTTTTGTATTTCTTCCATTTCCGAATAATCGCACCAACAGTTGTCTCCTTCTCAAAGTGACAGGACTAATCTGTGTTCCACATGGGCACATAACCAATCTGTGGGTGCCATAATTCTTGCTGGTTGGTAGGGGATCAAATACTTATTTCACTCACTGAAATGCAAATCAATCTCTAACCTTTATGTAATCTGGATTTTTTGGTTGATATTCTGTCTCTATCCGTTAAAATAAAACTACCATAAAAATTACAGACCCTTCATTTCATTGTAAGTGGGCAAACTTACAAAATATGCAGGGGATCAAATAAATATTTTCCCCACTGTGTATATATATATATATAACATTTATTTTTTGGACAAAGCATAATCTAATGATCTGTGTATGTGTGTGTGAGCACTGCTTCCATTTTCCATTTCCTTCCTCAGCACAGGATCTACCATTAAGCTATTCAAGGAGTGGAAGAGCTGCTAGAACATTCCACACTGAGCATGATGGGATGGTGGGAGGTTGGATTCATTGTGTCTCTGAGGTGTCGACAGCTGCAGGGGCCCATCAGAGTGCAGAGAGCACAGGGGCCTGAGCAGATGTGCCACGCAGAGGCACGTCACATGAGAGAGAGCGCTGGTGAAGGACTGCAGCCTCCATACCTGCTGAAGGCATTGCACCAGTGTGCGTGCGCTTTCCATCTTGTCCATCTGCCGTGTCCTGTTCAGGGTCTCTTTGATGATGTCGCTGAAGTCATTGTAGTACTGCAGGAGAGATATGACAGCAGTGAGCGATACAGGCTGTGAAGAACGCTCGATGTGGCTCCATGTCTGCCATATGGCTTCACGCCTAGGAATGTAAGCCTGTGGCATACTGAAAGCACATTACCCATAAGTCTGTCTGGCCAACAGGACAAGACTCTGGAAAGTGTAGCCTATTAGTCAT